ATATCAATTAGTGGCAACATTTTCATTGAGTGATTTTCTCTATGTCTTCTTGAATTATCATTTAACAAATTCCATGGAAACCATATATACAATTGATTTCAAAGTTAGCATCTGCAATTTTCTTTTCCCCTCACTTAAACCCTTTGGAACTCTTTCTCTCATTTTCATGTTTTTCTGACTCATACAACCTACAACTTTTCAAGTGTTTGGTCTTTAACACTCTTTAACACTTTTCTTTGTTTAACACTATTCTTTGTTTTTTAGTAACTCAAAACTCAATAGTAAATGTTTTGCAGCGTTGTGGAAGTAAAATGAAATAATATATATAAATATTTATTTTTAAAAATAACATATCTTTTATTTTTGACATGTTTCATAAAATTTATTAACATTTTCAAAAGATAAACTGACATATTTACATTTTCAAAAATAAACTGACAGTAAAATTAAATAGATAAGTTTATAGCATAATGTAAAGTATTAAAAATATCTTATATTTAACCAATTAACAATATTAGAAACAGATGGGTTCATTTTCTTATCAATATAGGATTTAATTTCAATAGAGTCAATAACTTATTATGAAAATTTATTATTTTGTAAAACTAATGATAGATTCTTAATATCTTTATCAAAACCAACCCAAGTATTATTAATTTTAAATGTACGATCAATCAAACAACGAACAAGTCCTAATTTGTAGCAAGAGGGAATAAAACTAAATTTTTTTTGTAAAAAACATGTATAAGTCTTTTTGTAATAAACTAAAGTTGAAAACGAGTTGGATTTTTTAATAAGTACATCTAAAAAGACAATCTGATTATCTTGTTCTTTTCCATAGTAAATTTCAAACTTTTATGTTGTTTATTGAGGTGTTTGAAAAATTCTTGAGCTTCATATTAAGAATTAAAAATAGCAACTATGTCATCCACATACCGTTTATAAAAAAATGGTGCTGTAAAGGAGCAATTATTGACCCATGTTTGTTCACGAAATCGGACAAAAATATAAGCTAAGATGGGCGCAAGGGGAGGACCCATTGCAACACCATCTCTTTGATCATAATATTTTTTGTCAATTAAAAAATGTGAACTGGATGTGGAAATCTGAGGTAATTTTTTAAAGTGAATTTTTTTTTTGAAAAATGTTTAGAGTTAATTTTATCTCTAAAAAATAAATCATTTGCTATGTTGATGGTTTTCTTAAGTGCAATACTCTTAAACAAACTTTCAACATCATATGAAACAATAAATTTATTAGTTACATTAATTTGTAGTCTAAAGTGTTCTAATAAAATTAATTTTTACTACTTATAAAATACAAGATCGTTTTTGCTTAAAAGAGTCACTTCCTAAACTGCTTAAATCTCATGTTGTCTGTAAATTTTCTTGCGCTGGCTGTAATGCCAGTTATATTGGAGAAACCTCCAGATATTTGGCAACTAGAATAAATGAACACCTTAAAAGTGATAAACAATCTTATATATTTAAACACTTAAATTTATCTATTAATTGCAAAAATCTGGCTAACTGTGATTCTTTTGAGATTTTGGATAATGCCCCAACCAAATTAAAAATAAAAGAAGTACTCTACATTAAATTGGAAAGTCCCTCATTTAATAAATAAACTTTACATTATGCTATAAACTAATCTATTTAATTTTACTGTCAGTTTTTTTTTTTGACGGTTGGTTATTTAGATTGGTTATTTACCGAGTTATTTTGTAATAAAAATATTGATTGTATATATGTATAATTTGTGTTCATTAATATTTCTATGTTAAGACTTCAATTTTTTAATATTCATTTCAGAGTTTTTTTTATTGTAAAACAATCTTTTGAAAATGTAAATAAATTTTACAAAACATGTCAAGAATAAAAAATATTGTGTTATTTTAAAAAATAATTACTTATTTTATGCTATTACGATGTTCAAGATATATATATATATATATATATATATATATATATATATATATATATATATATATATATATATATATATATATATATATATATATATATATATATATATATATATCCTTATAGTGTAGTCGAAAGAGACTTTTATGGTAAAAAAAAAAGTCTCTTTCTACTAAATGTCAAAGCAATTAAATTAATGCGGAAGTACATTAAACTTTATTGTTTTTTAAAAAAACCGCAATAATAATGACTAGAAAGTTTTTTTTAATTAGTGGTGTTTTTGTTTTATTAAAAAACATTTTTAAAACATGTGAAAGTGTTACTACATCAACTATCTTATAGACTGCTGCTTCAAGGGAGTGTTGCTACATCGACTATCTTATAGCCTGACTCGCAACAGAGTGCTGCTACATCGTCTGACAAATAGCCTGACTCGCAAGTGAGTGCTGCTACATCGACTGACAAATAGCCTGACTCGCAAGGGAGTGATGCTACAACGACTGAGGGTTTGGTTTGGGCAGGCAGTCTATCATTAAAAAAAAATTTTTTTTTTGAAGTTTTTTAACATATATATATATATTTATATATATATATATATATATATATATATATATATATATATATATATATATATATATATATATATATATATATATATATATATATATATATATATATATATATATATATGTATATATATATATATATATATATATATATATATATATATATATATATATATATATATATATATATATATATATATATAAACAGTATTTTGGATACTTATCTTTTGCTTTTAAAATGTACATGTGTATCCAAAATAAAATGGTGGGTTTTCCTATACACAATATACAATCAACATTTATTATAAAAAACACCAAAAATAACTAACCATTGCTTTAACTTCTAAACTGGACCCATCTATTTATTTTTTATTTTATTTTTTTATTTTTTCAGAAAAAATCTAATAAACAGTTAATAAACAGAAACAAAAATAAAACAAAAATTAACAGTTTAAATAAAAAAATTTTTTAAATGTTTAAATAATTTTTTTTTTTTTAAATAGCACCAAATAATTTAAAATTTTAAACAACCAAGATTTTGCAACATAAAAAATATTACCTTCTGCCACATGCAATTATTAAACCTCTAAACTTGGGCATATTTACAAAAATTATAAGGAACATTCAACAAAACTTCTTTTAGCAAAGTTAAGGCTCTTTGTAGAAAGTAAAAAATACCAAATAATGTATTTTTTGCATTTGAAACGTACAAACTGCTTTCATTATCTGACTAAACATTTTGAAAAAAAAAAAAAAATGCAATGTATATATATATATATATATATGTATATATATATATATATATATATATATATATATATATATATATATATATATATATATATATATATATATATATATATATATATATATAACTTTTTCTTACTCTTGAAACAGGGAAAAAAATAGAATACTTTTTACAGGGGATCCTTAAACACATAAAACACTTGATAAAATAATGAAACTGAACGAAATTTCGAAGAATACTCAAGGTAGTGAAGTAATGCGGTAGTGATGGTAGAGCACTTGCTTTATAAGCGAGAAATTTCAAGTTCCATACCATGTCCCGGTAGTATAGCACTAAGCTTGTTTCTCTATGCAGCAACCTTGATCACAAAGGTTCATGTTTCAGTGTTATAGAATTGAGAGAGGGTTATAATCACAATTTAAATAACCTCTTTGATTGTAGCGGCCTTCTCGGCCTTAGGAAGGTAAATTAATATAGAAAAAAAAACGGCGCCCCAAGAAATAGTGGAGGTTAAAGTCTTACTCATACTGAAATTTTTGTTTGAAAGTTTGTCTTCAAAATAAACTATAACAGTAGTAAAGTTTGTTAAAAATGCAGCATAGAAAAAGTCAAATTCTGCAATTAATAGATTAAAGTTGTTTATAGGACTGTGAGTTATTAGAAGCACTAAATGCTAATGTTGCCTAGCAGCTGATCAGGTAGAAAAAATGCACCTGGCAGAAGGTTGCCCTGAAAACTATAAAAAAAAACTATAAACTTAAAAATAAAAAACTTCATTAAAAACTAAAAACTTATTCTATTATAACATCTTTTCAAGATAATGTTACATAGAAAGCTGATAAGCTTATGTCCTAAAAATTACAATATATTTTACAATAATTGTCAAATAAGGTTTGCATAAAACTTTAAAAATACAAAAAATCAAAAATGAAATCTTTTTCATTGATCAGCAGCAGTTTTTTCACGCTTGTTATGTTTCGAGTGATAATCTTTTAAAGCTGCTTGAATGGCATCTTCAGCCAACACTGAATAATAATAACAAAAAAAATACAGCACTGCAATATATGCAGAAAAAATATATACATATAGCAAAAATAAAATTCAATATAGCAACAATAAGAATAACTAAGAACAGATAAAAAAAATAAAAAATAAGATTTCTGGAACCATTTGTTAAGTTCTTAGCAGCTGGTTTAAAACTTTAGTAACTACAAAGCAATTGCACTTCGCAGTTCAAGTTACTAAATTTTGAAACTTTAGTTGATTTTATGGTTTGGTTTTTAAGTTAATTTTAAACTTTTTTTAAAATATTTACCCCTTTAGAAACTTTAGCCAGGTAACTTAACAGTTGCCAGTAACTTTAACAGTAAATTTCAAAATAACATTTTTTTTAAAGTTAAGTTTTTTAAACTTGTTAATTCATTTTATTTAAAATAAGTTTCAACTTTTACTCAATTAAAAATTACTATCTATAAACAGATATCAGGCTAGTAAAACTGAATTTATAAACTAAAAGACCTAATAAAAACTCTTGTATGTTTATGAGGTCTTACTTAGTGGTGGTACCAATTGGTGGTGCATTGTACCAATAGTGGTACAATGCACCACCAATGCAACAGGCCAAAGTCATTAGGCAAATCAAGTGGCAATGATGTTTATCTGACAGGATAAACTTGTTACTAATGCTGTCCCTTTCTGAGGAGAAGTTTATTGTTTAACATTACACAAATTACATTTATACATTAGCATTCATGTTTTTTTTTTCCATTCTTAAGCCTTATATTATTGTATGCATGCTTTTTATTTTTTAGTCGATATTTTATTTTTTATGTTTTCATTTGGTAAAAAATCAATGTATATCATTGTTCATTTAACTGTTTATAAAAAGTATATTTTTAATAATTGCAAGTATTGTTTGGGTGCACTGTTTTGTTTTTATCTTCCTATTAGTATAACTTTAAGCACTTTTCTATTAATATTTATTTTTGTCTTGACAACTGACTAAACATGTTTTGTTTGAAAAAATACTTTCCTTTATTCAAGTGAAAATACTTTCCTTTATTCATTTGTCTCTTAGGTGTTTACTGCTCATGTGTGACCAATTAATTCATATGCCAAAGTTTTAATAATAATTTATAATGGTTGTGTTTAAGTAGGAATAAACCTTATTTTCAAATGCCAATTTGTTTCACATTTTCAGGGTAAAAACTGCATTTGGTCATATTTTGCTGGGTAAAAACTGCAATATTTGTTTATATCATTATGCATAGGCTTATCTAATTTGCCATTTAAAGACTTTTAATATTTACTATTTTAAAAGGCTTTTAAAGTTTACTACCTATTTTTCTACATATTAGTGGTTTTTCAAGTTGCCATGTCATTTTCTTATTTATAAATTATAAAAGAGTTAATGTAAATTGTTATAACATGATGCTCCTCTTAATGCTAACCTGTTTTGCAGATCAAGACAATTTTTACTGTGATAATACCATTAGGAGATTTAAAACAAGAGAATATTTAAGGTTTGTAAGCATCTCCTGTTTGTAAGTATCATTACCTGACAATGAAATTAGGGGGTTTTATAAACACATTTCCTAGTTTTATCTAGATGGTTTTATATCACATATCTATATCAGATATAAACCAGGAGGTTTTATATCAGAGTTTTCTAGTTTTATACCAGGGGGTTTTATAGATTTTTAAATCAGATTTTATATCAGATATAAACCATGAGGCTTTATATTGTCGCTGCAAAGCTAAACTCCATTTTTTGGCAAAATTGACTTTTTTGGTTTAAATTACTCCTCAGGTGCACAAAGTCATCTCACAAAGTATGGAACCAAAACTGGTTCAACTTTTGCAACTAAGAGTAAAACTCAAATATCTTATATCCTAAAAAAAATAATTAAGAAATATCATTGCTGCAAAACAAAACTATTATAAGTCTATTTTTTGGCAAAAATTAATACAAAAATAATAATTGATAATAAAAAAATTAATAATAAATAACTGAACACAAGTAGATTTGATCATAAAAATCAAAAGCAGTGATTAAATTTAAAACTTTAAATTCCTTATTCTCAGAACAGCCAAAATGGACTTAAGATGATCTTGTTTTGCAGCAGCAATTTATTTTGAAAAATTTTGTCATATTTTATATAGTTTTAAGATTATCTTAAGTCCATTTGTGTTGTCTCTTCTCATAAACTTAAGTTTCTAATTTTTTATTTGTTATATTATAAAAAATAATAACATATTCTAAAAGTATTTTAAAAACAATTTGATTTAATTAAGAAGATCAAACACAGTGATGAATTAAAAACTTTAAATGTCTTTTTCTCAGAACAGCAAAAATGGACTTAAGATAGTCTTGTTTTGCAGTGAAGATACCACTTATCCCAAAGCGAAGATATCACCATATTTCCCAAAATTAAATTTGGGGTTTTATATTATTGTTTTTCTTTCTCTAGGTAAGTTGCCTTCACAACAGCTAAGGAGCCTCTCCTGCTGAAGTATCAATTTAATGTTATGATCTGAACTATGAAGATACACTACAGAACCTATTATGAGTCTGTAAATACCACCCGATTATGGTGTTATCATAATTATCAATAATGATTCCTTAAAATAACTAGACAATTTTGCAGTATACTAGTTGCATTATAAAAATTGGGTTTTAAAATTTTAAGTAGTTTTAGCTGGTAATGGCTGACAATTAAGCACAATTGACAGTTGCTAGCCATCTACAATAAAATTTCTAACAACTAAACACAATAAAAAGTGGTTGACCATCCACTAAAAATAATGATTTTGATTATTAAAAATGAACAAACACTAGACTTTGTGGTAGAATAAAGCCTATTAGATCATCCTAAATAAACAGCTAATGTCATGTAGTTCTTAAACAGTCACAACACAATAAAAAAATTTATTATCAACTGTATGTACCCAATCATTAGTGCTGTGGTTTTATCTTATTATAGATATATACAATATATATTACGCCCAAATTAATATAAAATGTTATATTAATCTGGACGTAAAGTTAAAATAATATCCAGCAGGCCTTGCAAACAATGCCATGTTTTTTTCTGCCAGTTTTACTCAACAATAACAAAAATAAAAAGTTATTTCCTCAGCCTATTTTACAATAAAAATGAAAACTTAAAAACAGAATTATGCTATAATAATAAAAAACCCAAGTGATTGATAAGGATGGTATCACTCAAAAAAAAGTCTGATTAAATAACACCAAAAAAAATATGAACTTTAGCAGCAAGAACAATATAATAATAATAATAACAATAATAATAAAAATAATAACAAAATATAAGAAGAAAAAGTATAGTCATAATAAAACAATAACAGAAATAATTGTAGAAAAAATATGACTTTGTTTCCTTAAACACATAACAACAAAGATTACATTAACAGCAACAAACACATAACAACAATCATTATATCAACAGCAACAAACACATATATATCAATACATAGACATGAACAAACACATATATATCAATACATAGACAACAACAAACACATAACAAACACCGGTATATTAACAAGCACAACTTAATATATTGATGAAGAAAAAACATTTAAACAGTCAATATACTAAATAAATAATAAGTTCAGTGACTAAGACATAAATATTATATAATATAATATAAGACATAAATATTATATAAATATATTAGAAAGTATAACAACTATCTAATAAAGACAAATATTACAATAATATAATAAAGAATCAATAACTGCAAGACTTATGAAAAACAAAATGATTAAAGAAAAAAAAACTAACTAAAAACTGATAAAGATGCAAAATAATTACATTAGTTATATTAGTCTTATATAAAAATGTATGCAACAAATATGTGAAAGAAAAACAAAAAATATAACTAATATACCTGATGACACTAGATCAGCCAAAAATAAAACAATATATTTTAAAATAAAAAAATTTATAAAAAAATTAAATAGAAAATCCCTAAAATCGCTAAGAATATATATATATATATATATATATATATATATATATATATATATATATATATATATATATATATATATATATATATATATATATTAGTAAAATTTATTTTAAACAACACAAACTTACTTGAACAATGAAGTTTCACAGGAGGAAGAGAGAGTTCTTTTGCTATATCTGTGTTTTTTATTTTACCTGCGTCGCTAATCTAAAAAAAAAGAGAAAATACTTTTACACAAATCTCAGGAAAATTATAAAAAACTTCAATAATTTATTTTGGCTTCAATAATTTCTATTTGGCTTTTTTTTTGTGTATATAAAAAACTAGTCAGCTTGCAAATAGTCAAATTTCAGCTTTCAACATACCAGTCAGTACACATAATTGACATAATTATGAGCATATTCTACTTAAGCATAGTAGTAATTAAGTGTAATTACATGCAGTAAGTAAAAATTAAAATTTGGACTTTATTTATGTTAATTAAATTGAAGAACTTAGTGCTAAAAGTATTTAAGTTACATAATAAATATTTTGAGAAAATCTACTTTGATCACACTTCAAAATAAGGATTTAAAATGGCTGATCAAAGTAGATTTTCTCAAAACATTTATCTCGTGACTTAGCACTAAACTCTTAAATTAATTGTTATAAACTATTATGTAAATAAATTTAAACTATTTTTAAGGTATTGTAATAATCATTTGAGACCCAGGTTAATTTATTTTTGAAGAATTTTTTATATTTACATAATATTAGAAAAAAATGTTCAAGGGTCTTAAGGGACCTCTAAAAACCCAATGTTTGTTATTCAAAACAGATTTAGAGGGTCAATTTTATAAATCAATGTTTTTTAAACCATCCTACTATTTAGGTAAACATATATTATCAAAAAATTAAGAATACTTTTATGGTAAGGTGATAAAAATGCTTAAATTAAAATTTTAATGATTATTTAAATAGTATTAAAAAAACGTATTCAACAACACATGATAAAATATATTGTACAAAATTAATAACAATAACCAATAAAAATTATCTTTCACAAAATGTGCTTTTCAAATTTAAATGTCTTACTTAATGTGTTTCATTTATTAATTTAAACTTGTACTAAATGTTCTCCTATAAGTGATTTTAGTGTTAATGAATTTTCATTGCTGAAATTTGTTTTTAGATATTATTTTATTGGTAATTTAAATTGAACTAAATGTGCTTTCTACTGCTGATTTCAATTTCAAACTTGATACTAAGTAAATTTTTTTGTCTATTACTATTAAACAACATACATTTTTTCCTTTAATCCATTCTGTTGCTAATGAGCTTGATGCTATAGCTGAACCACATCCAAATGTTTTAAACCGAGCATCAACAATTTTTCCAGACTCATCAACTTTTATCTAAAAAAATTTAACTGAAATAAAGATGTATTAACAATAACATGATTAAAAAACAATTTTTTTTTCGTTTTTTTTTTTTAAATTACACACATACAGATATATTATATTATATGTTACAGCTACCCGCAGTAACAGAAAATACCCAAATTACTAATATTTATAACAAAGCTACTCATCAAGTGTATTACTTATTAGGCAAGATTCTCTGAGTAAAAATGAATTAACTTAAGTATGTATGTGTGTGTGTATATATATATATATATACACACACACACACACACATATATATATTATATATGCGTATTTTCCAAGGGCTGTATATATAAGTATATATATATATATATATATATATATATATATATATATATATATATATATATATATATATATATATATATATGTATATATATATATATATATAAATATATATATATATATTATATATATATATATATACATATATATATATATATATATATATATATATATATATATATATATAATATATATATATATATATATATATATATATATATATATATATATAAGATTAAAAAGTTCTAGCTTTATAAAACTTGTCTGCCAAAGAAGGAGTGCCTTTTTGAAAAGTAGACAAATAATAACCTGTAGAACTCATAAAATTTTCTTCGTTGAATTGATCGAACTTTAATGACATGCAGCGCGTGGAATTTTTAAATTAAATAATAGCCTGTAAATATTATATTGCGTTTGATTTAACCGCCTTTAAATAAGTAAAAGCGAAGTTTAAATTTTTTATATCAAGTTTAAAAATAATATGTTTATCTTAATATTTAATATTTTAAAGACATTATTATACTATATTACTATAACGAACTTGTTTTCTTGCCGTTTTTATTATTGATAAAAATAGTTACATGAACGCCATATAAATACCTTTTTGGCACTAAAAGTGGAGCTTATGCGCAAAATTGACACTTAGCATATTATATTTTTTTAAGTAAAAAAATTTACATAACTTTTATAAACCGGTAATGCAATTCAATGTAAACTAACAAGGTTTTTGAGAGAAAAAAACTCAATAAAACTTCAAGTCTATCTAAAAAAATGCGCAGTATTGAATTTAAACTATTTCATTTAAAAAACAAATATCTAGGATGATAAAAATTCTGAATATTAAAAAAAAAACTACAACTTCACTAGCCTAAAATAAAATAAACTGGGAAAACATAACATATATTTTGATTGGATAATTGGGTTCCGTAAAACTCAGATACGCCAGAAGCTAGTTTAAAAAAACCCATCTGCAGTACTTTTTATACTTTCGGCATTTAAAGAACTATTTTTTTCCTGTGTTCCTTTTAACAAAACAAATATGAATATATGTAAATATTGGTGAAAATTATTTGTTTAAATTTTATTTCAAAAATTTGATCGGACAATGTCCAACCAAAATAACTTTTGGTCGGACATTTTGTCCGGGACCTTAAAAATTAAACTAAGCCCTGACAGAAGAAGCTCAAGTTAAATAAATATTTTTTTTACTAATTTTCTAATGCTATGTCTTTAAGAATATTGAGCACTCTTTATGTATATTACACCAACATATTTGACATTAACTACAATAAATACATTGAGAGAACGTGCAAGGGAGTTGCTGCTACATTGACTTAAAGTTTGGTTAAGCGCAGCAATGTTTTTTTCATTATTCTTTGTTTTTTTGTTTGTTTTTTTATTTAGCAAAAAAAAACTATATGGAGTTAGGTCAGCAAAAAAAAATAGGCAAATGTATAAATGTATAATATGGTGGATCATACTTTTAAAATTTTGAATTTGGGAGAGCGTGCAATATTTTTTTATGTATAAGAATATTAGAAATCAGGATATTTGAAAAATGTAAGTTTTATTAAAAACTTGTCAAATTGGTACCTTTTTTCCTTTTTTTTAGGCCTATGGGGATGCAATCATCCCTATAGGTCACAATAGAAATTTTAAATTGTGATGTTTTGCATTGCACTCTCCATTATACAAACTGAGACAATCATTACCCTAGCACAATTAGCATTTCTTTAAATTGACTAGAAGAATCAGTTGCAACTCTGAGATTGGCATGTATATTATTGCTTTTCTCTCAGTAAAAACCATTTGTGTTTCTTGTTTGCTCCTCTCAAAGAAATGTGTTGCTGTATGCTGAGGACTTGGATCCATAATATGTTAAATTTCATTTTGAGTGGTCTTTGTTGGGGTGAGTCAAAGAGGTCTGCAACACCATATTAGGCAAAGTCTTTGATTTTTTGATCTCTACTTTTATCAGTTAACACCTGATCCCAGTTTCTAATTGGTCAATAATATTAGCAGTCCAACCATTCATGTACACTTCTTGTTTAATTGTTTAAGAATTTGCTATATATTTCATGATTTCATGGCTACAAATAAACTTTTTTGCAGCATGTCAAAAATTACTGAAATTTAAGCAGTCATTATTTGGAGTACTAATTAGAAGTATAAGATTTGTCTCTCAAGTTTTCTTGATTTTCTGCATCAGATATGCCTAAAAGCAGTTGATCTGAAGCAACCTTTGACTGAGAAGTGATTTGCTACAGGCTGTTACTTTTTTAAATTAATTTCCCAGGAAAAAAAAAAATTAATATCCAAAGATATACAAAAATTAAAAAGTTAAATAAGTTTTTTTAGGCAAGTTTTCATTTTGTTTTTTGAATTAAAAAATAGTTTATTTATTCCGTATTTCACTCACAACTAAAAAAAAGTTTTTATAATCGCATACTTGTAACTTCATTACATCCCCACATGCAGGAGCTCCAACAAGACCAGTACCAACATCAGCATCGTTTTTGTTTAGAGAACCAACATTTCTTGGATTTTCATAATGATCGATTACCTGAAAATTAATGTAGAAGCAATTTATTAAACATGTGATTTACAAATATTTTTTTAATTATTTGTAAAATATCTTTACATTATTTACAAATATCTTTTTAACTATTTATAAATATCTTTTTACTGATTTGTAAAATATCTTGATTTGATAAATACTATAAACTAATTTATCTTTTAAAACTAATCATTCTGTACACTAATTAATCATTACTTACGCTAAAAAATCATTCTGTATGCTAAATTATCTATTCCTTTCTTGTTTAATACTTAAATATCTATTATTATTATTATTATTATTATTATTATTATTATTATTATTATTATTATTATTATCATTATTAGTTAATAATGATTTATTGTCAGTTTTGATTAAATTAAATGAATCAAGATTTTTAGAGCATGAAGGAGCAGATAGAGGTCGTCCATAAAGTACGTATGCCAAAAATTTTGAAATTTGACCTCCCTTCCTCTTGTTGCCATGCGTACTTTTAAGTCCTCCCTCCCCCCCTCCCCCATAAAAAGTACGTATGTTTTTGAAATCCCCCCCCCCTCTCCAAACTTTTTTTTTTCAATGAAAAAGTTTATGGAAAAGAAAAGGAGGAAGTACCTTAGATACTTTATATGACCCAAAAGCTCTTTGTTTGCAGCACAGGATCCCAATTTAAAAAACGTCTTCGAATATATATGCAAACATTAATTTTATTAAAGTTAAATTACCCATTGACAACGTGCTCACTTATTCAAGCTACTTTTAAATGCCTTGAACTGCGGCGATGAAGATCGGTGTTTGAACCCCGGTCGAGTCATTTTGTACTTTTTTTATTGTTTTTTATTGTTTTTTATTGTTTTAACGACAAATCAAATAAAAATAAACCATTTAGTAAGTTTGTAAAAAACGAGTCCTACACAAGATCAGTAATATCCAAAACAAAGTCTAAAACTCAGTGCTGAGGATAGGCTACCCGTACCCCTTAATTTAGGGGAGAAGGTGGGGGCGGGGAGGGGGGAGGGGTAAGAGGGCAGAAAACCTTGTGCCTTTTTGCTAATTTACGGAGCTTTTATTATAGTAACTGAAAACATAGCTGTAAAATTTAGGAAATTTTGAGACTCAAATTACACTTTTTTTGGAGGAGGGGGGCGGGGGAGGGGGGCTCTGACACATTGGCCATTGCAATGCTAAACCTGTTTTTTGTTGACTCAAAAAATAGATTGCCTGAAATACGCCTTACTCAGGGCCAGTATATAAGGGATGGCATGTGCGCATTGGCACCCGCAACATTTTTTGATGTTCTAGATAGGACACTCTCACACATTTGGCATATAAATAATTAAGTTTGGAGCTTGCACAAGCTCCAAACTTAAGTCTTTATATGCCAAATTTATATCACATATTTGACATAAGTATGCTTATGTCAAATATGTAAAATTTGTGCAATATCTAAAACTTAAGTATAACTATGACTTGGTGATATGACCAATTATGTCTTCTTCTTGCCCCTGCTATTTGTATTTATATTATGATTTACGACTATAATAGATTTATATGGCAAAAAAAAAAAAAATAAATAAATTAAAAAAATAAATTAAAAAAAAACTATGCTAAATGCAAAAATTTGGGATGGTGAAGGCCTGGGAACACAATAGCCCTAAAACGCTTGCCCCCTGCTCAAGTGTGAGGCACTTATGTAGTAAAATTTCAACTTTACTATCTAAAACTAAATTTAAATTTACAGACAAATTTTTAATTTTGTAAAAAAATATTGTAAATTACAAACGTTATGACCATACAAAATTTACACCCCCTCATTTTGGAGGAGGGGGTGGGGGAGGCGCTTTAGGGCTTTTTGCTTCCTATACCCCCTATTTGGTATTATACCAAACATCTTTTTATGTTGGGAAACTAGGATCTTTAGTCAGAATTTTAACTTTTCTATTGATTAGCTGGTTAATTGTGATAAATTAGAAAATTGATGTACGTATTTTTAAATTAACCCCCCCCCCCATTCGCTTTTGTACGTTTTTTGAAGACATCCCCTCTCCCTCCTATGAGCGTTCGTACTTTATAGACAACTCCATACAGCAAAATGATACAACTTTGATATTCCATTAAGCAAGACTCAAAGTTGCATGAAACAGCTTTTATGCAAGATTGAGCTTTGGTTAATAAAGCAAGCAAAAATAACAACCATAGTAGTATTTGTAGAAAAGAGAAAGGGATACTATTCATTGTTATAAACTCTTATAACGATGAATAGTATTCAACAAGATTTACTTAAAATATTAAGACCTTGCCTAAAGAGAAGACCTTATAAAAAGAACCAGTCCAAATATGACAACAGGATTTCATGCAAGGATGAATGAGAGATTTATAGAGGTAGAGAATACAATCAGGAGTAAGAAAATGGCAAGCCCAATAGGAGACAACCTTCAAAGATATCTAAATTCACAATAGATTGTATATATGAGTTTTGTGTGTGGTCATTAGTGAATGAAAATCCAAAAATAGATTTAGTAAAAGACTCAGTATGAGTCTTGCCATTCATCAATAAGAAAAATCAACAATGTTACAATAACTATTAGGAGCCACTATAGCTAAGGAGCCACTACAGTCAAGGAGGTTATTCACTTTTTTTTTTAATAACTGCTACAACATTCTCTACACCTATACACTCCTTGACAATCAAGGATACTTGTAAAAAAATAAGTTAAAGCAGGGATAAAACTCAGAACTTCTCACTTTTAAAATGAGTGCTCTACCATTACACCACAAGATTTGTAAGGCTGTGACATGTTGTCCAAACCACAAGTTGTATAGAAGTTTGAAAATAACTTAAGCAACGGAAGCAAGAGTGTTTTGGATGACTAATAGTGGAATAACCATTTCTTTGGGATGACAGATTTCTTTGGGATGACAGAAAGAGTGTGTTTTTAAATATGTGAGATTTAAAAAATGAATTACTCTTGGGAGAGGTGATAATATCAGACCCATGTATGATAGATAAAACATTAAACATGTTTTTGTTTATGACATTATCAAAAATTCCCTTAAAGTCTATAGAACCTAATTTACGAGATAACAGATTTAGTAATCTGAGAATAATGAACCTTAATGACAATACCTTTTTTGCATTAACTTCTTGTTTTGTTAAAAAAACATTTCTTCTCCAGAAAATTGTTATTTTTAATTTCAGCCTGATTGTCAATAAGCTCAGATGTGTGCTTGAGAACACCATGAACTTTAGATAAAATAAAATTCCAAGAACTTTGTGTCTTTTCTCTCTCTTTCTCTTTGTGTGTTCTCCAAAAAAAAAAAAAAGAAGCTCTATAGGAGGCTTTATATTCTCAAAGCATTCATTGAAGTCTGTCTAATTTCACTGAATCTTTTAAATGAAAAAACAAAGTGCAACTCACTGATTGGCAAAGTATAAAAAACTTTTATTTTATATAATTTTTGATCAAGATCTAAAAGAAGAAGATTTTTACAACTTTTGTAACCAAGGTTTGCTGCCAAGGTTTTGATTTCATTAAATAAACAATTTTTAATAATTAATTCATTGAATCATTTCAAATGTTTTTAGTCTCCTGACATTGCTTGTTAAAAAAATAAAACATTTACATTTTTTCTTTTTGGCATGGAATGACCCATATATAAAAAAATCACTCATGAGGCCTTATTGAAATATAGGTAACCCACCGTCTATTAGTACATATATTGACTAGAAGTTTAAAAGTATTTACAACAAAAGAACATGTAGTATTAAAAAATTTCTTGTTTCTTTTACTATTTTGCTTTTTAAAAAAAAGTGTCTTAATCATCACTGTGTCTAAAGCATGGTTAAGACCTTAATATTCTAGTAGTTGATTTTTGAAACACTTTGCAGTTCTATTCAGATATTTAATATATACAATAACAATAAAAATCTATACTATCATAAAAAGATGGTTATGCAGTCAAGATGGTTATATTTTTTTTTGTTTGTGTATTTATTTGTTTTAATATTATTGTATAACCTACAGCTGTTTGATTCTTCTTATATTAATTTTCTTTTTCTTTTTTTAGCAATCTTCTTAAATTCATAGTAACTTCCAAATTAAATAAGGATTGCCTGCAGTTACCTTGTCAGAAGCAAATTACTTGAAAAAAAAAACTCCTGAGATAAATGTCATAAAAATTGCAAAAATTTTATTTGAAGAATGCAAGATGCACAATTAAAGCTCTTCTCAGAATCAAAAATCATGTACATTGCAGAGCAAACATCAATATAAATATAAGTAGCAATCCCTAGCACTTTGAAAAGATAATACACAATCAATTTTAAACAAACCTATCTAAATCTAACAGATTATATAAGTCAATAAATATTTGCAATAATATTACAAACTAATTTTTTCAAAAATTTATCGATAACTGCATTAACTAAAATAGACATAAAATTTTCAGAATCTGTATAAACACCATTAATGTGGAGAGGTGTGAGGTGTAAGGTAACCAATTCCAGTAAAAACTCTAATTTTAACTAAGTTTAAACTTTAAACTAAGGACTTTGTATTCACCTAAATATTTCTATTTTTGTATAAATATACAAAATATTAATTAGGCTTATTTTAAAATGCTTAAATTGATTTTAAAATTAAGTTAATATTTACAAATTTTACTATAACTGTTATTGCTCTTTTAAAAATTTAACATTATTTATAAGTAAAAATAATACAAATTAAAATTAGAAAAATAGAAGAGCTTTTCATTTTATTCATCTTTAATAAATTTTTTTAAAATAACTAAATTGTTTCATAAAGTTATTAGAATATGCATTTCTCTAGTTTTTAAGGGAAAAACTTACGTTCTTATGATACAGTCTCCTCAATAATATCGGCTGCGCTCCTAGTCGATAGATACATTTAATTGTTCCAAGCATTATATATTCTAATTATTTTCATTTATAGAAATATTTATTATCAAAGCATGCATATCTCATTATAATAAGCAATAAAATAAAAATAATATTACTTTTAAAAATTGCTTTTTGGTGCTATATAAGTTTTACAAAAATAAACATTGAAAAAAAAAAAAAAAATGATTGAAAAAAAAAAATCAAAATTAGTTATGCGCAAATAAACAAGGCAGCAAAATCTTACAGTGCGTAATCTACGTAACTTTTTTTTAAAACGCACAAAAATATTTGCCTCGCGTTTTTAATAAGGGGTCGAGGGAGGGGGGGGGTCCAAAATTAACTTTACTTAAGGTTTGTCTAGATTTTGCTTAGTTTAACCACTAGTACATAATTAATTTTTTATGCTGATTTTGAATTACTTAATACTTTTTTTTCATTATAGATATTCAGCGTTCTCAATTCAATTTCAGTAAAATTGGTGATATTGACAAAACAATTAATTGTTAAATTAGTAGTAGTTTCATTAAATTCGCCGTTAAGAATATATATAATCTACAAATATAACAAAAAAAAAAAAAAATTGGCTGCAGCAAGAAAAAGGCATAATGATCCTTATCACCGAGCCCCATTACAAACGGTTTTAACAAGTCCGTAAAAAATATATATATATATATATATATATATATATATATATATATATATATATATATATATATATATATATATATATATATATATATATATATATACAGGGCTGTTTTTGGAGCGTCGTAGGCTCTAGGTACTTTGCATAAATATGTAGCTGTAGGCCTTTCTTTCAATTTAAATGTCCACGTTATTCAATTTACATTATTTCTTTATTTTTGTACGTAGTCGTTAATGGGCCTACAGTCGCTGTTTGTTTGATTATTCTGTATCTGTACACATGTTATGCCTTAAAGAAATTAAATTGTATCCATTTCATTAATTGTATTTCTCTCACTATCATTACTTTTGTTATGATTACGAAGTTATGGATACAAGTAATCGCAGTTTAAATGTTAGTGTCAGTGATAATTTCCGTATTCAACAGTATTACGTTATCATAGACAGACTTAATAATGAGATGGAAAAGCGCAGAGCAGCTTATAAAGTATTGTACGAAAGGTTTAACTTTCTTCTTGACAACAGATCTTTGTCGAGTGAGAAAGTAGTGGCTAAAACCAAGGCACTAATTCAGTTGTATCTATCAGACCTCGAAGACGAATTTACCGATGAACTTTTGCTGTTTTCTCAAATATTTAGTGATGATAAATTGGTGTCTGATAAGATTAAGCTGCAAATAGACAATAAACTAGTTGCAAGTTTTCCAAATCTCTATATTAGGCACGAATTCAGAAGGTGAGCGTTCTTTTTCAAAATTAAAACTGATAAATAATTATCTGCGTTTAACTATGGGACAAGCCCGACTATCCTCCCTGGCACTGCTATCAATTGAAAATGAAGTAATGCGGGAGATGACATGTGAAGATGTTATAGTTGATTTTGCAAATACCAAAACTCGAAAAATTAATGTCATCTAATTATACTGTTTGACTATAAACATTTTTATCAATTATGAATTGATAAAAATGCTGCATTTGCTGCATCTGTATGATTGTTTTATTAATGAAATGAAAAACACTTTAAAATTTCTTTTTTTTTTCATTACTTTTGTAGGCCCCTGTTGATTCGTAGGTTCTAGACACAGTGCCTATAGTGCTTAATTTTTTAGTTTTTTAGTAGTTAACATGTTAAAGTTGATAAAGTTAATGTATAATTATAAATTTAGTTTGATAACTTCTAAGAAAGACTGGCCATTTTCAAAATATTAAAACCCGTATTTACTAAATTAAATTTTAAATTAGCTTTGAATTGCGGAAATGTTTGTTCTGTATTATGAACAATCTGTTTAAAACTTTTCATAAAAAAGGTCCCCGATACAGAATAGAAAAAGAACCCAATTTTAGATTATATTTTGGAATTTTAAAATTGAATTTGGAGAATCTGGTGGGGTATTTATGGCTTATTTTACTAAAATATTGATTAAATATAATTGGAGACAGTTCGTGCTTTATTATATATTAATTTTGAACACGTTTAATGATCGAAGCTTACATAGAAGTGGCTCGCAAGGCACAATTTTTGTTGCTCGAAATATAATTCTGCAAGCTTGTTTTTGTTTTAAATAGAGAGTTTATATGAATCTTCCAAGATAAATTCTTTCCAGAGAGCTTGTATGAGTCTTCCAAGATAAATTCTTTCCAGAAAGCTTGTATGAGTCTTCCAAGATAAACTTTCATCTAAAATAACATCTAAGAAGTTTACAGATGTTTGTATAATAATATTAATTTTGTTTATTTCCAGATCAGGTAACTTTAGAGGAAGATTATCTGTTTTATTTTGCTTATGAAATAATATATACTTAGTTTGTAACGTTAAGCGAAGTTTATTACATATAAATCAATCGTTTATTTTGTTTATTCTTCATTAACTACTTTAAAAAGCCTTATAATATCCTTATGTGAATAAAGCAGATTAGAGTCATCCACAAATAAAATAAAAGGGAATAAGTTTGATTTAAAAGATAAATCATTTATATAAAGTGAAAAAAATAGCGGTTCTAAAATCGATCCTTGAGGAACTCCGCATGTTAATATATTTTGGACGTTTTACCTGTTTCATATTGTATAAACTCTTTTCTGCTTGATAAATATTCTTTAAATCAAAGTTAGTTATTGTTTTTTATTCCATAATGTTCAAATTTTTTAAGGAGAATGTCATGGTTGACGGTGTCGAATGCTTTAGACAGATCAATAAAAACTCCTAATGTCAAACAATCATCATTAGTCAAAGCGTTATCGGTTGAGAGATTTTTTAAAAACCAAATTGCTTGTTGAACAACATGTTGTTTACCGTTAGGTAGCTGTTAAGCCTGTTATACATTTTACGTTCGAATAATTTAGAAAAGCATGAAACCGATATTGGTCTGTAGTTTGAAGTATTTGTGTCATCACCCGATTTATAAATAGGTGAGATTCGTGCAATTTTTCAGTTTTTCTGGAACAGTACTTAATTTAATAGAAAGATTAAAGATGTGATATAAAGAGGATTCTATAATATTTAAAACTGGTTTTACAATATACACGTTAACTTGATCAAAACCTGCACTAGTGTTGTTTTTAAGACTATCTAAAGCAGATCATTATTGTTGTTAGCATTTATTAAAGTAGTATTAAATATTTCATTTTATCAGTAAAATACGTAATCATTATGTGTGGTTATAAATACAACAAAAAATATTATGCCTTAAACTAGTCCAATATATGGAACAATTTGTAACAATTACTAGGAAAAAAGCGAAATAACTTTACAGTAGCCATGGTGCAGTGGTTGGAAATTTTTTTCAAAGCCAAGAGATTTGAATAGAAAAGAGGTGTGAACTTCTTAGTTAAATTGCTCTTTAACGGTGCTTTGCGATATGACTTTTAGTTCTTCTTGACCTTAACAACTAAAAAAAAAAGTCAACATAGGTGATTATGAATTGTTGACTTTCCTAGTAGAAACTTTAAATTACTAACTTTTTCTTCTGTAGACATAACACGAGGTTAGAACTATTTTGTTTTATTTCTATGTTTTTCCGAACCGAGAAAATCAATTTCAAAGTTGACCTGCAGACCAATTAACATAAAAAACTCAAACAAAAACAATTTGAATTATTTTCCTATACAGGCTACCACAGTTTTAAAGAAATTGTTTTAAAATATTTAAAGTGCAGGCATCTGAATTACTTCACCCTGATTTGGAGATAGATCAATGTAATACACGCTTATTTTTATAAAATACTGTGTTATTTTGTTATATCTCCATTTTCTGTTAAAAAATATAATACAAACAATTATTTCTTATATATATTGTGGCAAGATGATTGTATATTTTGGTAATTAAAGTATTTTAAGGTACATATCTGTTTTATTAGAAAAAAAATCTTATTTTATACTTGTGAACAAATAATATAAACTTACTATTTTATCTAAAATTCAATTCAACAGAGAAGATAAGTAATATATTATCTAAAGTATGTACCAATTTCTTCGTAACAAAATAAAACTTAAGTTATAAGTTCTAAAAGCATTTCATCTAAAATACATTGCTTAATAAAAAGATATCTTAAAGAATAATTAGTTAACCAGCACCTATGATAAGTTTATTAAAAGTATAACATTCCAGTAAGAAACCCATTTAACAACATAACATATAAATCATATATATTTTGACAATACAATAAATTATGTCAAAATACTCTTATAAAGCACAATATTTACATTTATTTAGATCGTAGATTGTTAACTCATTCTTTTGAAGAAACATTATAACATAATTTTGTGTAGTAGGGGAGACCGGGGCTAGTTGGCCGCAGGGGTAAGTTGACGAATTGCGTTTATCTTTAAAGCCTTTCATCAGAAAGTGATAAAAATTACACAGAATCTTCCTAATTGACTGTTTCATCATTCAATGTAGTATTGTCAGGATTCGCGCATGCGCATGGGAGATATTAAGATTTAAGTGTTTTTTGGACAAAAACGTAACTTTTGAAACATCGCTTCCTTTTTACTTTACAAAGAAAATAGTTAGTCAAATGGAAAAAAAATTATTGTAAAAGTTCTAGCCACAATTGGTTTACTATATTCAGTTTGACTTTTTTTAAAAGTTGCCGTTTTTCAGGATCTATAGACTGTTTATTGAAAAAAAAGCCTTCGGGGTAAGTTGACAAAATTTTTACGGGGTAAGTTGGCTCATAGCATTTACTATGGAGAAAAATATTTATTTTTATAAAAATAATTTTTTTAATTTTTTTAATTTTTAACAATATTGAAAAAACTTATTCTTACAAAAAAATTATAAAAATTTTTTTTTTAGGTTCTTTGTAACAGGTAAAAAGAGGGCTGCTGTTTTGGCTGTTATACGTACTAATATTTAGCACAAGCTAAAAATAATATCAAATTATTAGCTTAAATTGTTGCCAAAATTAATAGGTAAAAAATTTCTATTAATTTTGCACTTAATAGTACATTAATAATCACGT